GGAAAGAATCGAAAAATATGCCTAGAAAACAATTTTTGTCCCTAACTGCGTTAAAAAACTTACTGTATAGCGGAGCGCAGGTACACACAGATACTACGTAAGTGTGTTAAAAAGTTCACTCAAATTTAGTGCACGCTAAACGACCACGCGGCAGCGCGGCGCCCGCTGCATAGGCCGCCCCTCCTGTATCTGTGTGCGAAGGGTCGACTACCCGCGCCTACTCGTGCCCACCCAGACGTGCTCTAACACTTCCTTCAATTAGATGCATCGTGCGTGATCCTCTGTCTCGTCTGCGTAGTTGTACCGATGCTAACCCATCTTCTAAACCAATCTCGGCAAAATCGACTGTTTTTTAAAAGGGTCCCTGATCTTTGTATACTCCTTGCAGACATACGACAGATACGGTGAAACTTGCCTCAAACGCAAGTCCCTAATATGGATGGTGACTGAGAACTGGAAGGTCACGCCCGAATCGGATACGCAGGTGCGTTACATTTATTAGACGGTCATTTTCGACTAGACACTAGAACACTATCGGTGGTAGACCGTGCAGTACTGCACAGTGTTGCCAGAAAAATAGGCAACAACTGCCGATAACTGCCCAACAAAGCTATGTGGAGCGATCGATATCTACGCCTGCCTACTAGGCAAACCCTCTGCACGAGCATGTAGGTGTTTCCTAGTGGCCAGGCGTAGATCCCGATCCACAAAGCTGTTTGTTGGGCGGTTTTTGCGTAATTTTTTTGGCAACACTTGTGCTACAAAAGCACACCTTCCACATGCAGGTGCAGGTCGAAGAGCTGCTGGAAATGGTTTCGACCGGCATAGCAGCAGACTCTGAGAAGGGTATTACGGAACGGGACTTCAGCAAGGCTGTCACGAAGTACCCAATGCTGCTGCAGTTCCTCGGCGAGGTGCTGCCTCCCAGACCCGCCGTCCACACCTTCCTGTCCACCATGCTACCTCGTGCTCGGCCGTACGAGTACTGCCCGGACTACCGCACCGAGCGCGAGCCTGACCCTAAGCCCTTCCGGGCTTTCGGATCCAGCGGGTCCCAGGAGGTTGTGCACCGGCTCGGCGGCCGAAATCAGGTCGCCCGGACGCCCAGCGTCGCGGTGCCCCAGGCGGGGGCTGACTTTTGAGGGACTCGCTCTTTATGCACTTGGCTTTGGGACTTGGGTACTTTTACCCCCCCATTGCAATTGCACATTTACGAGCACGTTTGTAGTAGCAGCGCACGTAATTGACTTATTGTGTGAAGACCTGCTTATTCTGTTTTACTGCGGTTGACTGGAGTGAAAGCAAAATCGTGGAAAACAAGTGGAAAGGGAATGGTAATGGTGACAACTGCCAGGTGTGGTAAGGTTAGTCTGTTTTTCGCGTTAGTGCAAACAAAGAAATCATCCTTAAATTTGTAATTGACTAAATAGTGTTGTCGCTATCACAATTTGTCACGGTTAGATAACATGTAAAAGGTTAATAAATACATCGTTGACTTGTGTAAAACGAGGAAAACACCACAAAATTAA